AGTCTCCAGTAGCAGTAACACGGTCTGGTTTTGGGTCTGTGAAGACAAGGTTTTCTTCTGCACCAGATGTGTATGCATTGTTGTTGTTTCCATGATTCTGTTGTTGCGAAGAAGAAGAGTCTTCATGTTTGAGCTGAGATGTTTCATGCATTTTGTTCTTGTTGTTTTCTTGATTAGATTTAGAGAGTAACTCTGATGCATCATCACCAAACTCTTCTTTATACATCTCTTCGATCATCGGTTTCCATAGCCGAACTCTCGCGTTAATAAACCAATTCGCAACCTAACGATTATCAAGAATCAGATAACCACTTAAAATCAAAGCAAGACCAAAGATTGAGCCAACAACAAATGTGACATATAATACCTGGTTTTTTGATAGTCCTGTCTGCTTAGCAAGCATGATCTTCTCTGACTCCTTAGGATATCTACAAAAAAAACTTAAACCAGTTATTAACTAAGAAAAAGAGAACCAAAAATGTTGTCTCTTAATCAAAAACACTTACGGGTGAAGGAAATGCTCAAAGAGCCAAGCGCGGAGTATAGAGACAGAGTTTTCAGGTAAGCCTCTTTGTGGTCTCCAAGATGGTCTAACCATTCCAAGTTGCTGATGCAAAGCTCTCTGTTGTCTCAACCTCTGATCTAAATACCTAAGACGTGGTATCCTCTCTCCTTGTTCTTCAGACGTCTCTTTCTCCCCGAGCTTCCCTCTTATCACCTGAATCTGCTCTTTTATCGTGTCCCGTAAGCAACGGAAATGGCGAGAGATTCTGTTCAGAGCTACTGATGTGTAAGGCTTAGCTGCTCCAAGACCTGTTACCATCTCGAATGATGAAGCTAAAGCCTCCATTTGATGGTAGTATTGGTTGTACCTTTTATCCACCTACAAATATTTTTCAAAAACATATCATACAACATCAATGCAAGGCCGGTTCTAGACATATTTACATGAAACATTGGCTTCGGTCCCCAAAATATTAATGTTTGATAACTTTCAAATCGGTTAAATAAAATATATTTATTGATTATTTAGTCTACTTTTTATCTTTTATATACCTGCAATATTTTTTTCAAAAAACAATCATCAATAATAACAACATCATTGTTGAGATCTCATATAAAAATTCAAGAAACCAATACTAATATATAAGGGACTTCTGCTAATTAATTTATTGCCAATTAAGTTTAAGATAAAATTCTTAGAAACTTAACAATCTTCGTTAAAAAAAAATTGTGGTTTTTGATAAAGTTAATGTACCTCATCGACCATTGTTAAGAGCTTGTTCTTCTTGCTCTGAAGTTCTTGACGTTCTTGAGGAGATAACTCCTCTTGCAGTTTCTCATTCTCTGTGTTGTGATCACTCGACCCATTAGTAAACTCTTGACCTTTGTCATTACTACTCTTGATCTTGATCTTCTTGTTACTACTACTCTCACCCAGTTTCATCTCTCTCCTGACACTAACAACTTCATCTAGCAGTTGCTGTGTTGGTTTAAGGTAACGAGACCTTAGAACGCTACTCACAAACCCTGATGTCTCGTAACGGTAATTGTTGTAGAATCCAACTCCATTGCTGTAACCAGAAGAAGGCATTTGCTGATCAGCTTGATGATGTTGATGACTCAAGCTCTTCCCATTCTCGTCATTACTGTAACTCAATTGGTTTGAGAGATTCTGGTAATGGTATTGGATCTGATTACCGAGGCTTAAGGAAAGTCCTCCTCCTTGAAAGCTTAGATCGTTGCTTGAGCTTCCGTTGAGACCTGTTACCACGACGTCGTTTGATGGTGGGATAAAAACCATCTCGTTTGGTACAACACCACCGGAGTTTGGGATATCGAGACCGCCTCCGCCGGAGAAAGATGCGGCGGAGGATGAAGAGGCTTGTTGTTGTTGTTGTTGTTGGTCGTTGAGGTAGATGGGTTCTTGGTACAGAGGTTGCATGCCGACACTAGTTGGGTAATAAACCGCCATGTACTTTTATTACAAAAATTGTTTTTATTACAGTGAGTTTTATTTATCTCATCCAACTGATATCTTGTCTGAAAACGAGATTTCCTGTAAGAAAAAGAGAGAGAGAGAGAGACGTGTAAGATTAAAATCAGATTATGTGTTAAAACATCGTATTCTCACGCCGTAATTACAGATGGAAAAATTCAAGAAAATTAAAAAAAGAAATGAAACCCAGAATTCTCTAATTTAGGAAATAATTAAAACCCTAATCTTTATTTAGAAGAAGCCTTTTCCATATCAATCACAGTGACGCAAAAAGCAGAGGATGATGAAATCATGAAAGATCCATATATAATAAAGTGTTTATTTTCATATGATTTCATATTTTCATGTACGATGATGATAAGTATAACACGGAGAAGATGATCATCTCTTTCCAAAAGAGGAAAGGTTTTTTGAAAAAAATAAAGAAAAACAGTACAGATCAATCAAGAACCTGAGAGAGATTGTGGATGTGGCTCTGAATCAGGGAACACAAGAAAAGAGAAGAACTTCGTAATAGTCGAAGACAAAAAGAGATGAAGACACCCAATCCCAAGAGACGACCAATTATTGCAATTATAATAAACAAAACTATTCTCTACTTTTTTGTGTGTATCACTCACAAAGAACAGAACCAACCCATCTTATCATTGGAACCTCGACAACAAACACCAGATTTTAAAATTAATTAAAAAATAATCTTTAACGAATATCAACCATATCATAATAATCTATGGAGAAAATTTGACAATCTCTACCAGTAATATTTAATTTTATTCGAACCGAAGAAGCTTCTATATCACATTTATTAATATTATTTTGGTTTTTTCTGTGCCAACCATTTAGTGAATAGCACGCGTGAAGCAGAAAATTCATTTATTTATTTATTTTTGTGTATGGATTATTGAAGATAATAGAGAATACTTTTTTTTACAAAATACGACTTTATATACATTTTTATTTCAAACTATCGATAAACAAACTAATATTATTGAAACGGAACAAATATCATTGACTTGACTGATGACTTGGTGCGTTTATTCAAACAAATAGTATAAACAAATAGTGAGTTTTTAAAGAAAATGAAGAAAAGAGTTGAATTACGTATTGTGTTTTTTTTTAGAAGTTTATAGCTTGGACATAAATTCAAGCAACCATTGAATTGTTTTACTATTAAATTTTTCCACCAAAGTTTGATTGATTAGTTAACTAGAGCATCTCAAATTAGTCGTAGTTGGGCTGAAAAAATCATAAGTTAGTGTGAACCAACAACATATGTTTTTATTTCGTATATAATTGCCAATCCTTGTTTATAAGCGAGCATGAAACATGTGTTACTTGACATGATACATGGAGTAATTGTTAAAGTGATCACAATGGCGTCTATAAATTTGTAATTTAAATCAAATAACCGTTTTCAGGCATATCATACTGTTTATTCAAGTTATACGTGTTATGTTTGCGTGATACATCGGGCACGCATTTCTTACAGCGACGTGCAAAGAAGGAAATTAAATTACTCCATTTTCTAGATTTTGTGTATAATTAGTAAATACAAACAGAGAGAATGTCAACAACTCAGTTTATTAAATATTAATGTTAAGTTGCAAAACCACACTTGGAGCTAGAGAAGTTTTCTTTGTGGGAGGTAGCCTAAATAATTTGATTTGCCAGAAGTGTTCTTTGAGGAAGAAGTGTGTCTGCTCAATTGCTTAATTGAGGGATTAAAGGGCCTTAACAACCAGTTGGTGACTACCCAATTCCTTCCTTGTAAAGAAAAATCCATCTATTTTTTTTTTTTGAATGAAGAAAAATCCATCTATTGACTAACAAAAAATACATTTTCTTAACCGAGTTAAATCATCTAATATTATTATATATGACATGAGTATAGAACACTATACATAAACAATTAGATATGTATGACACTAAGAAAATTATTTATTCATAATACATTAAATTGAAAGTGTTTTCAGCTTTCTCATAGGTCGATTCCTTGTCGCAAGGGATCTGTGGAGGTTGTGTAATAAATAATAAATAGATTTGATATAGAAAGGATGAAAGAATGAAATAAATAAGGTAGATGTGTCGGACGCGAGGTTGGTGAAAGTGGCCAAAAACAAAAGACTTGGACGCGAAATTGCCTTGTGGACGCTAACGGAAGGAAGCTTTGTGTCAATACTAATAAATGTTTTATTTTAATTATCCGTTTGTATATATTATTTTATCAAATTTCTGAGTCTCAGTTTGTCATGGATTGGAACAGCCGACACAAACCTTTCAGAAGAATCAATGTATAACAAAACTAGATTATGTATATTTATATTCATGAGTGGATTATTTCTTTTCTTTGGATAAACATATTTTTAATGTAGAGTTGATAAACGGCAGGTGGAATATGGGGAAATAAACACACTATAATATCAAATAATTAAAACTTTCTGAAATAGGTTAAATGAATGTGGTTTTCTAAAGCATATTATGTGATGAGTTTTGAAATGCAAATAACAATAATATATAAATAATTTAAGACGGCGGCGATGAATATGTTTTGTTTGATGATGATAGTGCACGACATAAGACGGTGATGAATCGATTTTGGGTTTACCAAGAGAAATCGCTAGCAACATCCATTCACCTTTTTGATGGTTAGAGACCTTAAGAGTTTGTATAACAGTTTTTTTTTTTTGGCTATATTAAATTTTATTTTTTCACTTAGGCTGATTCTTGTGCGCTTGTAACTAAATACTTTAAGAGATACTTCATTGTTAATGATAGAGGTGTTTAAATATGCATGCTCGTAATCATCAAGTAAGGTTCACTCTTTGTTTTTTCCTTACTTCTTGTTGTGAATTATAGTATCTCCTAATGGATATAAGGTGTATTTTTAGAGATCCCATTGTGTAATGCCGATTCTAGAATGAGGATCCTTAAGATTCATGCTTTTGGTATATCTAAACAAGGAGAGACCAACCAGAACTAAAACATTTTTTTCATGATGTAACAAAAACTAAGTGAAGCAAAGAAACATGAGTCCAGTGCACATTACAGTGCTGATTCTAGAAAATAGTAAAGATAAAACATAAAGAAGAAGAAGATATAAAATTGGCTAACAAACTCATCAAAGGATCGAGTTAGACGGTGTGAACCTCAGTTCTGTTGTTCTTTTTCAAGTCAGTTTGAATCGTCATTGCCTTCTCTATGCATGGATTCATCTGAGGAGTCTCCAAACTCTTCTCTGTACATCTCTTCTATCATTGGTTTCCAGAGTCGAACTCGAGCATTTATGAACCAGTTTGACACCTTACACCACCAACAAACACACAAAAAAATTATTTAAATCAGATTCTTGATGGTGACAAAAATTTAAAGACAATGCAATATTAAGATTCAGACAAAGGTACTTGGTTCTTTGAAAGCCCTGTTTGAGACGCCAACATCAACTTCTCTGCATCACTAGGATAGCTGTTTTCATTTCATTACAATAAATCAAAATGTTATTTCTCTCTTAACCTAACTTAAGAAGCAAGACAACACTTACGGATGCAAGAAATGGTGAAAGAGCCAAGCTCTGAGAATCGCAACAGAAGTTTCAGGCAAGCCTCTGATGGGTTTCCAGGCATGTCTCTGAGGTCCTTGAACCCAACCAAGACGCTGAAGTGATGATGGAGTGTTCCCATCGAACAAGGTGAGCTGTGACAAACCAGAGGTCATGATCTTGGGAACAAAATCTTGAGAGATGATGAATCTTCGACGAAGAGAGTTGAGCTGAGAGAGGATAGCTTCTTGGAGAGAACCGAAATGTCGAGTCATGGCTTGAAGTGCTAAACCGGTGTAGAGTTTTGATGATCCTTCTCCTGTTACTTCCTCAAATGATGATATCACTTGCTCTAGTTGAGTGCAGTATATGTCAAACCTTTCATCTACCTGTTGATAACCCGGAGAATGTAACCGGATTTAACCAGAAAAGAAAACAAAAAGCAGAGGAAAGAAGTTTGGGGTAATTTGGAGAATGAATCTTACAACAAAATATTCTAAATTAAAAAAACTACGCCATGTTGTTTATTAATTTGTAGATAAGATTTAAAAATTTAAAGTTAGTATTTTATATTTTTGGAAACTGGAGTTTACAGCTTAAATTTAAACTGTTTTGTTGAAATTTTAAAATATTTGAAATTAAATTTATATAAATGCGACCAAAGTGGAAAAAGCTTACGTCCATAACAATTATCCTCAAGATTATAATGACTAACCTGTTACACCATTTTATAGTAATTAACTAATTATAGTTAAAATTTTCAAAATTTATGTATCTGTTTTTTTTTAGATTTTTAATATTTAGAAATTGGAGTTTACAGCTTAAATTTGGATGGTTTTGTTGATTTTAAACATAGATTATATCACTAAATTTATATTAATGCGACCAAAGAGGAAAAAAGGATTACTTCCATAATGATCATCCTATTATAGTGACTTACCTGTTGCAACAAACTGAGAAGCTTGGTGATTTTGATATGAAGCTCATGATTCTCAGGCAAAGACATGAAACCTGAGTTACATAGTTCAGATTTGATCTCAGAGGACAAGCCAAAACCGGGTCTTCTTCTTCCTGGAAACAGTTGTTGGATAAGAACGTCGTTGCAAAGATCGACTTCTCTACCACCAAGGTCGATAACTTCTTCTAGAAGGCACCGCGCTGCCTTGGCGTATCTTGGATCCAACGAAACACCGGTTGGAGATGAAAACTCGCGTCTTACCCTAAACTCATCCATCGTCTTCTATTCGGAGAGAAAACAAGTCAAGAAAAATAATGAAAACAAACGTTTTATGGGCACTGTTTACCTTTACTATTTTTGCTCCACATACATAAATATGTTAACCAAGAAGCAATATATATATTTGATTTTTCAAAGACTGTTATGTTGACTTGTCGGCCTGTAGCGAAGGTAGCTGTTGAAACCTAGTTGCTAGTTAACATTAGTGGTCTATACAGAGATTACTGAAATTCTAGCGAAATTGAAGTTTTTCACTGATTTTGTGTTGTTTACTGAGGTAGGCCATTAGTCGATAAGACCATGTATGTATACGTTGAAAAACACTACTCGAGGTAATCAGTGGTCAAAGCTGGTTTTATATTCACAATTATTGTGGTAAGAAAAGCACTGAAGATTTTGAAATCACGAACCACCTAGAGAGTGAGAGCCAATGCTGAAGCCTGCAGGAAAAGCACTTTGTATTGCTTACCTATACATCCCCCTACTAATACTAGTACTTAATAAATAATTAAATAGTTAAATAAAACAATGAATGAACACCAGTCCAAGAAATTTATTTTTTTGGTATATCTTTGTCAAAAGAAAGTAGAAAGGGATTTCAAATATATATGGTCCCTCTCCTCTGAGCACGAAGCAACAGGCTTTTTGCATAAATGCTTCCTCTTACCTTGCATTGCATCAGTAGCCACAGTTCCCTTTCTGAGCTTCGAACTTTGTTGGGAAGTTCAAAAATAAAAAGAGAAAAAGACACACACATGCAAACAACAAATGTTAATTTCTATATACTCGTCTTTTTAATATCTAACAATATTTTTGAAGAAGGTATAATATGACTAAGTTCTTCCCTGATAAGTAGCTATTCAGTTAAGTCTTTAAGATGTTACAACGCTAAGAATAAAGAACTGTTAATGGCACCAGTGACGATTATCATTAGGGCTTAGGAAAAAAAATCATTATGGTCTAGAGAATAATCTGTATAATTCTTCAAGCTGAAAGTCTGGAGATTAAGATGTTATAAAATTTCATATAAGAACATGCTTCTTCAAGATTTTCATAAGAGTTTCAATCTCATTGAATGTCCATTTACAAAACTCGGTAAAAAGGAAAAAAATCTGGTTCAATCAGAGTTTTATTAAATTCATGATTTCTTTTATTTATTGGAAATTTCAGAGACTTTGTCTGCGTCTGAGCCATAAAGGCAAAGGAACATGGAAACTTTAAGAATAGTGTGTGTATATTCGTTGATAGTAGCTGCTAACTAGGACAACTCGTAGATGTTGAGAAGGCACTGCAAAGATCTTGAAGACATTGCTTTGGCTTCTTACTATTCCTACTTCAACTTGCAACACTCTAATAGGCCTTCAAGTCTTAAAATTAATGTAAAATTATGTTGATATAGAATTATTTATATATAATTTATTTTAGTTGAATATTCGATTTTAACATATTACTATTTATGATTTATTTTATCTTACAAATATGAAATATTATTGTATATTTTTTTAACACATATATTATTATATGTTTCGTTTCTCCAAGTTATAGATAACCAATTTCTAGAGGAACTAAAACGGATCAAATTATATTGGACAATTCTGTCAAATATTTATTTTTAAAATTTTAGTACCAAAAACACTCAAAAAAGAAAATGAAAAGATATTATATTAAAGAGACAAAAAAATCTATTTTATTTTATAGATATATAAAAATAAAAAATGATTAAATTTTGTTTTTAATATAATTTTGTATTATATTGATTTAAATTTGAACTTTTGTGATTTTTTTGAACTTTTTTTAAAAATAAATCGTTTTTGAAATTTGAAAATGTTTTTTAAAACTATTTTTTTAAATTTTAAACTCACGCCTAAAACATAAATCATAACTCTAAATAATAAGTTTAAGGTTAATTAGTCTTAGAGTTATAAAGATATATCTATTTATTCGATAAAATCTCTTTTGGTTATTTTTATGAAAATAAAGAAAAAAGAATTATTTTGTCTGTGATATTTATTTACCAATGTTGATGGTATTATTAACACCGTTTCACCGGCAGCAGAACTCAGCGACTCTGACTACATCGCTGACACTTACACAAACATAAATCTAAAAAGCCCAGGATAGTACACGTGGCACCATCGTAACCATCCCTCCCACGATCTGAAATAATCATCTCTTCAATCAGAGGAGGACCCCACAAACCGTCCGATTCTTCCTCGAGCATTCCTTCTCCTTTCTTCTTCTCCAAAGGCAAAGAGGGAGAGAGATCATCTCTGTCTCACTTCATCCCTACAAAGCCATGGCAAGTTCTGCTGCTCCTTCTCAAAAGGTTCCCTTGATCTCTTCCCTCTGTTTTTTTTATCTCTTTGTATGTCATTGACTTAGGGTTTTGACTTTTTTTGGTTAAAACTTGCGTAAGGCTCTGAGCAAGATCGCGTGTAAGAGGCTTCAGAAAGAGCTTGTGGAATGGCAGATGAGTCCACCTACGGGTTTCAAACATAAGGTCACTGATAATCTCCAGAGGTATACAAACAACATCGTTTATTTATTGCTGTGTTTACTTTTTATCGTTTTGAGATTCATTTTGAAATTCGATTGGTTACAGATGGATAATTGAAGTTATTGGAGCTCCAGGAACTTTGTACGCGAACGAAACCTATCAGCTTCAAGTTGATTTTCCCGAGCACTATCCTATGGAATCGCCACAAGTGAGTGTTTCCAACTTAGTGATGACTTTGCTGCTTAGATTATATACTATACAGTATATACTTAATGGTATGATCACAAATAATGCTTTGGTCTCTGCTCTGTCGTGGCTTCGAGTTTGACTTGAGCCTAAGTTTTTTTTTTCCACGTAGCTTGAAACTAGATAGATACAAGATATTCGTTTAGTCAGAGCTTTCTTGACCTCGTTAGGATCTTTAAAGATGTGTCACAAAACAAGGGTTGAAAATACTCTAAAAAACCATATGCATATTTATAAGAAAACCTTGAAAATGAAAACCATAATCTTAATTAGAATAGAAAAACTAAAATAAAGAAAACACAAATAAATGGTAATTATTCTTATTCTTAAATGTCACCTTGTTATGTTTTGTTTACTTGTTGTACAGGTGATTTTCCTTCCTCCGGCTCCTTTGCATCCTCACATTTACAGCAATGGGCATATTTGTTTAGGTACGTGTGACTATCCTCTGTTTTTTCTGATACATTCTTTCTCTTTTGGTTTACAGTTTATTACTTTGGTTTACTTTTCTTGTAACGTGATGAGACATCTCTCAACGCGCGTTTGTGGTAGAAACAAGATATAGCTAATTGTCTGATGTTTTTGACACGTTAGTAAAAGGTTGAGACTGTAATTATTGATCAAAACAATTTAAGAGCTGTATAAACAGTGTAAGATGGTACCATGAATTTGCATTTCCAAACTAATCTGAAGTCTTAAGATCTTTGCATTAGCGTCCAATGCTAACATATGTCATATGATCAGTATTGGGAAGAGAATGACTGAAACGTATTCGGCGTTCCATGCATTTTACTGTTCATTAGTATATTTTAAAAACGTAGGCCGCTCTAAGGAAGAATCTGACCACATGTATCCTTTCTAGATATTCTGTATGATTCGTGGTCTCCAGCGATGACGGTGAGTTCTATCTGCATCAGCATCCTCTCTATGCTCTCTAGCTCCACTGAAAAGGTAATGCGACTCTTAAACTCTGTCATAGGCCGTTTTTTTTATAGTCTATACTCTACAAAATATGAACCTTCTTCCACTCGCTTGGTTGCAGCAACGACCGACCGATAATGACCGATATGTGAAGAATTGCAAGAACGGAAGATCCCCAAAGGAGACGAGATGGTGGTTCCACGATGATAAAGTATAAATCAACCATCCATCAAATCATAAATGTATAATAATCCAAAACCGTCATGAGGTTTGTTCATGTTTGTTGTCTCATTTTAATTTTAATAATCGGGTTTTAAGCTTCCCTAAACCCATATCAAAATCCTTGATGATGTAGAAAAAATTAAACAGTACGTAACATATTACTAACTTGAATCTTCCTAATTAACTCTAATTTTTAAACGTTACTAACAAAATACCCCAACCTAATCTCTCTGATGCTTCTCTATTAGGTCATATATATACATCAGGAAGAATATATTCTCAACTACTACTTTCCCTCTCTGATCTTCTCATGTCACCATGAAGCTGACGACGAAGAGGACGGTTGAGGAAACAAAGCCAGTGATGGGTTTTGAAAGATTCTCTGACCGGTAGCAAGTATATGTCGTGGATCAAACTCAGCCTTCATGCTGCTAAACTGATCCCATTTGTCTCCATAATGAGCCACCCACTCCTCTTGTGTCGCGTGGTGAGGAAGGTACTGCTTCACATTGATCTTGGCTTGATCACAGAACTCCAAGATCCTACGGTTCTGATCTTTTAAATACTCTAGCTTCTGCGTTTCCTCACCGTCCGATAAAGCTGATCTCAGTAGAGCCACCAGGTAGAAAACTTCCTCGTCCGGTGTAACAGCCGAGCTTCTTTCGTCCCATCTGGCATTACAAAAAAAAAAGATTAACACGTCAGCACGACAATATCTATAGTTAATAAATGATGTGTGGGAGGGTCGTTGAGATTGGTTTGGTTTAGTAGAATCCGATTGGGACCCACCACCATTAGTTATAGGAACTAAAAAACAATAGACCCAATCTGGACCGTCAAGATTGGACAACGAACCAAAAGAGAAAGATGAGCCGACGATGATGCGTTGTTATCAATCTTAGCTGGTTCAATTCGATGCACATGTGAACAAAGTTTTTCGGACAATCCCATGTACCACGTGTCAGAAGTTCTTTACAATTTCGACAAACAATTTTTTTTTTTTGGACCACAAGTGTAACTTTGCATGCATGCAAAACTCGTTTTATTCTTTTGTTTCTGTAAAGAATTTTATAAGTAAAACGGTGGTAATATATCGATCGAGACTTACTTGTCTTTGTTCATTGGGTAGATAAGGATAGGGCCACTAGTTTTATTCCCCAAAATGCCCTTGAAAACGCCTTTGTCGAAATCAGAGATTCTTGATTTTGGTACAAAGAGGTTGAGCCATGGGTGTGGAACCTCCCATAGATTCTTCGACCGGAGCTTCAGCTCAGCCTTGTGAACCCGGTCCAAAAAGTCCACATATTGCAAATCCGTCGTGAAAACCGATGTGGGTATAAAATTCAATTTCTTCATCAAAATCTCCACTTCCTGGAGCAAAGCAAACAAAATCCACTTTTAATTTACTTAATCCAGAACAAGAAAATAAAGTTAAAGTGGAAAATTAAAAAGCTGGTTTGCTATTAAAGCCTACCAAAACCAAGGATAAGTTAAGATTCCAGTAGAGTTGGTTTTAATAAAGTTTAATTAGAGTAAAGAGGAATCATTATTTGGTGAGTGGTCCATGACCCCGCCACTACTTAATTAGCAACCATGATTAATTCGCTAGTGATAAACTAAACATAATAGTTCAGGTGGAAAAGCTAGATCTCTGTAGATCCTCTCTGGCTTCTTTTTCATGTCTTCTTCCTTAATTTAAACTATAATAAACTCTTTTTATATTAAATTAAAGCCGACACAACAAAAATACTATGGAGACCACTTTCAATCATATAAACTAAAAGAAAACCTAAATTTTATATCATGATTTCCTCAATAATCGCATAGCGTTAAATCCTTCCAGATATTCATCATTATAAAAAAAAGAAGAAAAAAAATATCTTTATCTAATTTAAGAAAATAAAGATTTGAGGAATTCTTAATTAGATTTTACCTGGTCGATGGTGTCGGATTCGGACTCGTGGTAGTTCTTGGTGATCTCAAGGCAATACAGAACGGAGCCGTTAGAACTAACGGAAGAAATTTTAACGGGGTTACGAGGAGAGAAGAAAGATGATCTCCAGTTGTTGACGAGACCTTCGTCCACGATCACAAACCCTTCCACGTAATCAAACTTTGATTGACCATGCATAGATATCAAGTACTCTTGGTCCTGAGTAAACACTTCGAAGCTCGAATACAATACTCTTATCCATCTTACCTGTCACACAAGATTATCATTTAGGGTTTCATTAACTAAATTTATAAAACAAAATATGTCACCACAATAGTGAAAAAAGGTTAATAAAATAAAACTCATGGACCCGCCCGGCAATTTATTACGTGACAACATAAAATCAAAATTTTAAAACATTTACCCTTTGGGGAGCAGGTTCGAGAGAGATTCGTGCTCGTGTAATGATCCCAAATTGACCTAACCCACCAAGAACTCCATGGAAAAGCCTTGTGTTCTCTTCTTCTGAACATCTCATCACCTCTCCTTTCCCTATTTTTGAATCAGTTTGTTTGTTATTAAAATTGCAAATCAAATCCAACAGAACCAAATATATGAACTTGATAACGTTTTATACTAACCAGTTACAACGTCTAGCTCAAGGACGTTACTAATCTGAGGACCATGGTGAAAAGCTTGACCACTAATTCCAGCATTAGAGAGTGTACCACCAACGGAAAGATACAAGTAATCAGTCCATGACTTTGGTGCTAAGCCATGCTCCAACGTTTTCTTCAACACATCAACCCATAACTCTCCACCCCAAACGTCCACATACATTTCCTCCGGTTCAACAAGTGGGTCCGGGGTCCCTATGTTTCGGTGGCTCATCTCCACCACCACTCCGTTCCTCCCTGTCGAGGCCTGTCCGTTTATTGAATGGCCGTGGCCACGGGCTGAGACCGGAAACGCCGTGGCAGAGCCGTAAGCTGTTCTGATGAGTCGTGCCACATCTTCGGCTGAGGATGGATGAAGTACGGCTAGTGGCTCCTCCGGCGACTTTAGCATACCGAAGTCAGAGGAGACGGAGGATAAGTCGGAAGGCTTGAAGGTGAAGTGGCCGTCGACGTCTATGGCTCCGATGCGGAGGAGCTCGCTAGGACCAACGGCTATGATCAGTGTACAAATCGCGAACGTCATGAGGAGAAAGCTTGACGTCATTTCACGAGTCATCAAGAATCAAGAAAATCAAGATATGCGTCTCTCAGGACACTTAAGGGGAAAGGAATATATAGAATAAGAAATGATAATAAAAATGTTTTAGATGATGAAAGATTTTATGGGGAAATGAAAAAACATATATAGGAGATCCTTGGGAGTTCGTGAGAGCTAACGTAAGCCCAGATTACACTTTGAAGATTTTCTGAGCAACATGCACAGATTCTCTCTCTTTTTCGGTTTGGGTGAAAAATTATTATTATTATAAAAATATAACGAAGTTTTAAAATCTATTTATTCGTACAATTTAACGAGTTTATGCGTTTATGTGTGTGTCGAGAATATGAGGACAAGAGGCCCTCTATTTATAGGACAAAGAGTTTGTACCGGAGAAGATCACGTCATATTCTTACTAACAAATTCATCTTTTAACAAAAGGACCGTGTGATATCTACGTGTCGATGTGTATCATTAACTATTCTACGTAGTTAATACACATAATATGTCTCAGCAAGACATTGTAGACCGAATACTTAAGGTTTGACTACTTCAAGATTGGCAGTATCAAATTTCTTTTTTATTCAAAACGTGTTATATGAGCATAAAGCTAGGTAACCATTGACTTGACTATTGTGAAATCAGTTGTCTGGGACATCAAGAACAAAGTATAGTAGAAAAATCAACGATGTCGATGTGTAGGGAAGTGAAATTTGATTAGAGAGTAGAAGGATTGGTTGGTGTTCGAGTGTTTTAAACTATGATTGTAACGAGGATGTGGTATAGTCACGGAGGACAGCATGGGAGGAATGGGAGAGACGCAAAGAATTAGCGCCGCGTGGATATTCACGTGGGAGAGGATGAGGTCACACGTGCGTGGTGAAAGAGTGGGGGTCCGCAGTTAGATACGGAGAATCCTAGTGGGCCCTCTTCTCTCCTGAGATGAAGTTCACGTGGTGACTTGCACGGTAAAAACACTAGAAATGGATTCATTTTTTTTTTTGTAAAAGACTAGAAACAGATTATTGTAAGATTAGATAACCCAAATAGTTAACAAAAGCAAGAAAAATAAATTTCACCAGAGATACGAAAAACATTATGTAATAAGTTATTGATAGATTATTTGTAATAAGATGTTCTTTTTTATCAATGAGAAAATATGCACTATACAAGACATAAAATCGTGTAAAAGAATAAACCAAGATAGATTCTTCTTCTGCAGTACTTTGCAGTTGGTAGATTCTCTCTCTGGCTTCATCGAGAAATTAATTTTACAAAAGAAAATAATTTATTTTTAGTTATGGAAGATATGTATTCTATGCATGATATAGTACTATAGTAGCCTAGTAGGTGAGGTCAGAAATGGTTTAACAAGAATTTTTTTGGATCCGTACATTGTTATTACTTTTTAAAATGAATTTTGTTTAGCTACTTCTCGTCGAGTGACTCGAGTCATGTATAATTAATTAAAACCGATTAAACTAATATATACAAATTGGTGTGGGAATGTTACTCTAATTCTAAAACAAATATTTTGACGTGAAGACACTTATTATTTAGGTTTTCTTTTCTGATGAATAACGTGGCAATCTAACGCCTAGCAAGATTTGACGATAATTAGTTTGGTGGGTTGATCTGGTACTATATTTAATTTATTTTTCTGTAAAAACAATGAAGAGCAAGTTGGGTACTATCTGATGCCAATCTGAACATTAATACCTTTGCACGATAATAGAGATTGATACGTTTTACCGAATTTTCAAATCTCATACTAGTTGCCAACTTGTTCTCGTGTTTTGATTTTCTTCTTCCGGATTTGTGTCTTATTACTAAATAATAGGATGATCAGTATTCACACTTCTATTTGCGTTGCTGAGTCGTGTAAATATGATTAAAGCCAAAAAACACATACAGGTAGCCCTGGGCAAAAATACCGGAATCGAAAAACCAAACCACAACCGAACCAAAATACTCGAAATTCTTAAATATCCGAATGGTTCCTATATTTATATATCCGAAAAATTAAATCAAGAACCGAACGGGTACCCAAATATCCGAAAAAAACAAATTGAAGTTTTTTAATATAAGATAAAATGACACCAAACCCATTTGAACCCAAGTTAGATACAAAGCGTAAGTACATTTTTACCATTTTTTACCACCAGATCACATTATGTTTTATTTATTCGTTTATATTATAAATATATATAGTATTTCTATATTAAAATATGATAAATATTTATAAAATTAACACTTTATTGATTCAGACCCTTGTTGGATTGACAAATATGTAAGCGTGTAAACACTAGACCATTTAAATTAACATATTAACTAATATATTATATATATATATATATATTTGATTTATATATTAAACGGGTACTCGAAATCGAACCGAAAACTCATAAGTATCTATTGGGTATAAAAATGATTTATCCGATATACTCGGAACCGAGTGGTTCCTATCCGGAACCGAACCGAATATCCGAATGCCCAGGCCTATATACAGGTATGTTACACAATCGTACTTTAAAAAAAAAAATGTTTCCAGTGCATATTTTTACATTTTATATAAAACTTTTGATGTTCTAATTTAAATACTTAATGATTACACTATACTAAATGCATTTACGTTTTCCAAATGAGTTAATAACACATGTTTGAGAAAAAGTATAATATGTGCGAATGGTGTTAATATATATATTTGGAAACAAAAAGTAATTAAGAAGTAAACAAATAAATAATTAGTAAAATTACATAATTGTTATGCCTGGGTATGTTTAAAGTAGTCAAAACATCAGTCTTTCAGATATAAAGAGAATAAATTCTTAAGATTTATGGTTATTTTTAACAAAAATATATTTATATGTTTTTTTACTAACAGGGAAAATAATAACTTTACTGCATATTATATATACAGATTAGGTTTTATCAGTAAATATCAGGCATTATGCCATCTCTAATATATTTTATTATTTTCCTTTATAATATATATTTGTATTATAAAGATGGAATTGGTTTCAATGTAATTCTTCATAATATAATTGTTCAAAATGTAGAATGAAAAACAGAAATTGTTATTTTCTCCTCTTTAGATAGGAAAACAATAATTATCTCTATTTTTTATAAAAAAATAACTATCTCTATTTTCTAAAAGGAAATATCAATGAGTGAAATTACCTTTAAAAGACATTATAAAAATAGAAATGACAAGTTGACAACGTGTTTGAGACGCTCTTGGCCAAAATCGTATCACTCTTTGCCAAAATCATACTTACTCTTTACAACATGCAATCATGGACACATATGCTCTCTCTGTTCTCAAAAATAAGATTTTTTAGATTTATTTTTTGTTTTACAAAAATATAATTTATATATATTGTTAAGATACTTTTCTATACTTTTAAAAACATTAATTGATAATATTTGAATTGATTAAATTTCATAGGTAGATAGTTGTTAGAAAGTGTATAGAGAAATAAAAAAGAAATTAATAGGTGTAAATAGTTTCGAAAATCTTAGGTAATATGTGACGCCGTAAAAGCACCCGTAACAAGGAATCCTTAGAGAAAATCCTTAGAGAAATATTAATTTATAATCAATGAGTTTCATGAACAGTTACGGATTCTATCCTTAAAAACCTTATTTAAAGATTGATCCTTACACTATTTGCGAGTTCCACTGTCCACATGACGGTCCGCGAATGGTCAAATCTTTTTTTAAAGAAAAAATTCAAAATATCCTTATATAATTTAAAATACCAATTTTTTTTCGAAGGATTCATCCTAAGGATCCTTGTCGTGGATGCTCTAAGCTACCGTATATATTTTCTGAAACGGATGTACTGGACTTTGCATTGATTTTATTATTTTTTTGCATTGAATTCTATACTAATTTTTTGAACAATATCCATATTGAAAATTGTGACAATGTAAAGAGTAACGATAACGGTGTAACCAGAAGAGGACCCATGTGGGGGCAGCATGTTTCAAAATATTTTGTTTGTTCATTTTTTTTGGACAAATTTTGTTTTTTCATTTATTGTTCGCAATTTGTTTGGTTGTAGGTCAATCAGCAGAGACGTAACATGATCAGCAAGTACTATTAGCGTTTTTAACATTCCCCCTATGCATCGTGAAAAAGGAAGTAGCTAATATTGCTGGAAATAATGATAATTAAGTGCCAGAAAATAATCAGAATAATTAAACATCTAACTTGAAATATATAAAACCATATGGTTTATTTTCGAATATACTAAAAACATATAATTTACAAACAGATAATTCAACACACAGTACCAAAAAACAACTGTCTTTTAACGTTCACATAAATATATAATTACTAGATTGATTTGCAAAGTCAATATAAATCTATTTTACTAAAAAAAACTATCTTATTCTTAAACTTTATTCATTCGAACTCTTACAAAATAATGTCTAGACAGATTTGCTGGCAATGCAAGCACCAAATCAAGGAAATTTATATCTGTTAAAATATCGATAATGTAAATTTTTAACCAATAAATAAAATCCATTCGTGTCAAAGACATCAATAATAAACTCATCATGTTTTTTTAATCTTTATATTAGGATCATGTTTTAGGCAGTGATTCATAATAATAGTTATCGATTAATGCAATCAGTTTATTATAATTATAATACTGTTTTCATACTTATGCATGGGAATATTTATAATATATACATTATGTATATCATCTTGTGGAAAACACATAACTGTATGACTTCAAATAAATATTTCTCAGATTCAATCCGTTGATTTTTTTTTTTCAATCTGTTGATTTTAGAGGCTATGGATTATACTTCATACACCGATATTTTTCTGTTTCCTTTTGACATCTTTCTTCATCATTTAACATACCACCAATTGTGAACCAGAAAAAACACACACATCACTAATAGGTCCAGTGAGATTGTTACAACTATCATCTGTAAAGAGAAAATTCAAATTACAATACAGGAAACAAA